TTGGGAGGCCGAGGTGGGCAAATCACTTGAGGTCAGAAATTCGAGACCAGCCTGGCCAACATGGCAAAACCCCATCTCTACTAAAAATACACTAATTAGCCAGGTGTGGTGGTGTGTGCCATGCGCCTGTAGTCTGAGCTACTCAGGAGGCTGAGGCACAAGAATCGCTTGAACCTGGGAGGTGGAAGTTGCAGTGAGCCGAGACTGTGCCACTGCACTCCAGCTTGAGTGACAGAGTGACTCAAAAATAAAAAAAAATAAAAAAAATAAAGAGTAGTATAGCAGGAATGGGGACTGTGGCCATGTTCCTTACTTGTTCATCCAAGGCCTACTTGAGCCTGATCTCATATATACCACTTTAATTTAGTGATGGAGTCCTACTGTGTATGCACAACTTTATGGCTTGGTAGGTCAAGTAATACCCAGTTCATGATCGGTAGCTCAGGTCTCATGGTAACTTAGTGGCCCATGATTAAGTGCTCAGTCTATACTAAGACCTACTAGCAAACTAAGAACTGTTTCCCAAAAGGGGTATAGTTATCTGTGAACAATAGCTGGGGTTTGCTTCAATATGCTGAAGGCATGTGCTGCAATTCACGTATGAGGGCTTGCCAGTGACTCCAAATGGCATCCCTATCTGCCATTGACACTTCAAGCACCATTGGATGTGCTGGATCATATGGCCCAAGTGGAAAGCAGCTTGAATAGCAGCCTGAACCTTCTGTTCTGGGACCTACTCAAAACTATCAGGTTTTTGGATCACTTGGTAAATGGGCCAGAATAACACAGCCAATTGAAGACTGTGTTGCCTCCAAAATTCAAAGAGGCTTACTAGATGTGGTGCCTCTTTCTGGGTTGTAGGAGGGGCCAGATGCAACAACTTATCCTTCACCTTAGGAGGGATATCTCTCCATACCACTGCACCCCTCAAAATTTCACTGAGGTAGAAGGCCCCTGAATTTTTGTCAGATTTCCCATCCCCTGACGTGCAGCTATCTTACCAGTAAGTCTAATGTAGTTGTTGCTTCTTGCTCATTAGGTCCCATCAGCATAATGTCATCAATGCAATGGACCTGCCTAATATCTTTTTTTTTTTTTTTTTTTTTTTTTTTTTTTTTGAGATGGAGTCTGGCTCTGTCGCCCAGGCTAGAGTGCAGTGGCGTGATCTCAGCTCACTGCAAGCTCCGCCCCCCGGGTTCCCGCCATTCTCCTGCCTCAGCCTCCCGAGTAACTGGGACCACAGGCGCCGCCACCTCGCCCGGCTAGTTTTTTGTATTTTTAGTAGAGATGGGGTTTCACCGTGTTAGCCAGGATGGTCTCGATCTCCTGACCTCGTGATCCGCCCGTCTCGGCCTCCCAAAGTGCTGGGATTACAGGCTTGAGCCACCGCGCCCGGCCTACCTGCCTAATATCTTATAAAAGGGTGGTCAAGATTCTTGTGAAGGTGGTCAAGATTCTTGTGAAGCAAATTATGACATAGGACTAGAGAGCTGATATACCCGTGCAGCAGGACAGTGAAGTGTATTGCTGGCCTTGCCTGCTGAAAGCAAACAACTTACAGTGTACTTATGGTGGACCTTAATAAAGACAGGTATGGAGAAAAGAGCATTTGTTAGAAAACCAGCTGCATATGTTAATTTGCTCAAGCCATGAAACCACATTTGGCACAGCAGCTACAATTGTTGTCACCATCTAGTTAAGTTTATGACAATCCACTGTCCAGGAGTCATCTTTCTTCTACACAGGCTGAATAGGAGATTTGAAGGAGGATGTGGTGGTAATCACCAACTCTGCATCTTTCAAGTCTGATGATGGCACTAACCTCTGCAATCCTTCCAAGAATATGCAATATTGCTTTTGGTTACCATTTACCTAGGTAGAGGCCATTCTAATGGGTTCCACCTGGCTTTTCCACCACAACAGCCTACACTACACAGGTCCAGAGACCAATGAGGGATTCTGCCAGTTGTTGAGCATGTCTGCTTCAATTATGTACTCTGGAACAGGAAAAATAACCCACAAGAAGGTTGCAAGGACCCACTGGGCCTACATGAGACAGACCTGAGCTAAAACTCCATTGATTACTTAATCTTTATAAGGCCCTACTTTGACTGCTGGATCACAGTTACATTTTAGGTCTCCCTGGAATTAGGGTCAATTCAGAGCTAATGCTCAGTAGTAGATTATTTCCTTTTCCCTAACGCACAGTCACCCTGGTAAAAGGCCACATAGGTCCATTTGCAGGAGGCTGGGAGGAAGATTAACAGTATAAATACTTGGCAGTGTCCTTCCTCAAACGGACCCAGGCTCCCCTTCATTCAAGGGGTCTGGGTTTGTAAACTGGTACAAGTCTGGGTATTGATTGAGAAGCTGTGACTCTCCAATTTAATAATTCAAATTAAATTTTTTATCACTTGACCTAGAATTCTTCCACGTATACAGATCAAGTAAAAATTTAGTAGACTTCCCATCCATTTCACTTCTAGGAACATCATGATAACTAGCCAACACCATAGGTCTCTACGAGTCAGACTATTCTGATTAATGCTTTGACTCTGCCTCAGTTATGGTACTATGCTCACCTTGTCTTTGGTGATTAAGTGCCCCCACTTGGTTCCTGCCATTCTAGGATCCAACTACTCCCATTGCATTTAGGTTTCCCAATTCAGTGGCAGCAGTTCCCACTGAAAGTTCTAGCCTGCAGAGAAGAATGATCACATAACTGGGGAAAGAAGCTGGGGCTGCCCTTACAACTTTATTTTTCATAGTCATGATAAAAGAAAGGTGTGTCTTCTGGAACCTCGCAGGTTTGGTGAGTAGGCCTTAAATAAATCTGTTAATACTTGAACATTACAGTGTCCCTAAAGTCTCTTTTTTTATGGATCTCTTCTTCTAGAGTATACCAGATCACTTCTGGCATTTTAACTTCATGTCGTTTAGGCCACCTTTTGGTCCATGTTTCATCCAACCGTCCAAACAAACTGTTAAAGCTCTTTCTTACCCCATGGGCTGCAACATTAAGTGTGGAACCTCTGCTTAATGAGCTCCTATCGGTAAATTTAGCCTGATTCAACTTTATATTTTTTCCACTGTTATCCCATACCTTTAATACCTATTCCCATACATATTTCCTTGGTTTTTGTCTGTAAATTGGAGAAATTATGTAGTTCTTTGGAGTATAGCATAATTCCTCATGGGTCATACTTCACACCTCACCTATAGGAGCCTGCTGAGACTTGAACTAGTTATAGGTCTAGAAGCAAAGAGGGGTAGTGGGGGTGAATCAGTAGTGTCTTGCATGGCAGATACCTCAGAGGAGACCATTGCAGTTTTCTCAGGCCAAATAGAGTTAATCTAAGATATGGATGAGTGGCTGCTTCTACTGGCAAAGAAGACTGAGAATTTAAGGGTTCAATTTTGCCAGCTTCATTAGGATCTTCCGAAATAACCTCCATTCCAAAATTTAGAATCCTACTTCTTCTTGGTCAATGCCCTCACTTTATTAGCAGATGCCCTGTGAGGTTGTGAATTCAGTTTGCATTGTAATTCATCCACTTAAAGGATGAGATTCTGAGTTTGGTTTTCATCAGTCTCAGCTCTGCAGCTATAGGGGTTAAGAGGTTTTTTTCAGGGCAGTCATAGAAACTTTCTGGTCATTTACAAAGTACTTACACTGATAATTCAGATCTCTGAGCTCATCCTTTCTCTCCTTTGTTCAGCACACTTAGGATTAGCCAGCCAATCTCATATTTGTTATTTTGACAAAAATGTTCAAAATTTTGTATGTGGTCACCTGGAACCTTGCCTCTTAAAACTGTTTTATTAGGAATATCCAGTGGTGGTATTTTGTGTATCTCTGCTGCCACATCACACTATAGATTATCAGTACTCTGTTTTCTACTGGAAAGAGAGTCATTAGGGCCTTTAAATCTAATCAGATTAGAGAACCAACCCCAGAACCAATTTAGAAAACTCATCCTTAAGATTATTCTCTAGAATCACTCTCAGTACTAAAGTCTGGGTTAGGGTTCTCCAGAATAACAGAATTAATAGAATATGTGAATATACATATACATACATACATATGTGTGTATGTGTGTGTGTGTGTGTGTGTGTTTAGGGAGAGAGATTGAGAAAGACTGAGATTGATTTTAAGAAACTTTCTCAACTAATTGTAGAGACTAGCCAGTCCAAAATTTGCAGGGCAGGCTGACAGACTGGAGACCCGTGGAAGAGTTAATGTGGAGTTAATTTTGTGGTTCAGGTTAGAAAGCAATCTGGAAGCAAAATTCTTTTTTCTTGGGGAAATGTCAGGCTTTTTCTCTTAAGGCCTTCATCTGATTAGATGAGGCCCACCCACATTATACAGAATGAACTACTTTACTCAGAGTCTACTGATTCAAATGTTAATCTTAACTAAAAACTGCCTTTGCAACAACATACAGATTGGTGTTTAACCAAATGTCTGGGTATCATGGCCTAGCTAACTTGACACATAAAATTAGCCATCCCAGTGTGTATGTACATATTTAACAATAATCCACTGACTCCTGGGAAAATATCAGTGTATATATGTTTATATAGATATTTTTCCATATGTATATATGTGTCTGAGAAAGATATATACAAGGGTTAAAATATTTTCATTTATATATTCTTGGTATGTGTATAACTATCTTAAAATGACCCAGATTTGGTGATTTGGAGTGTTCGATGTATTTTATTAAGACTCCTCTGTATGATAAGCTTTATTTATAAACATAGTGCTCATAGTGAGTATTCAGCATAAGCAGGATAGGCCTGAAGAATTCTAGCTATTGCACTTTTAGACCTGACCTGAAACAATTTCTGCCATCCTAGTTTGTGAAATAGACATACTTAAAATTCCTCTTAGAAAGGAACAAAAAGCTCCTGGTTAAAATATGATAAAATAACTACATCTTAGCTTGAAAGATGAGAACTATTATATGTTGATCAGTATGTTGGGCTTTTTAATTTAGATTTTTAAAGAGCGAGAAGAAGATTTGAGGCGTTTGTCTCGCCCATTGGAATGTTCTTGTTTCCGAACATCTATCTGGGATGAAACCCTCTATAAGGTGTGTATGTCTCCCTGAGTTCCCTCATTTTAAGAGCATGAAAAAAAACCTAGAAGGATGTTAACAACACTGAAAGATTTTAAACTATTTCATAGCCATCTAGATTTGTTGTACTAAAAAGAAAAATAATCTGCAACAAATTGTTTGAAGAATATCAAACTTAATATTAAGAGACTTGGGTTTTGATCTTAGATTGGGTCGACATAGCTACTGAGTCACACTGAATTAGCCAGTTTGGTGATGATTAATTTGGTACTGGTCTTTGTGATAGCAAAGGTTTCACTTACTGGCCATCATCCATTTTGACCTGTTGTGGTCTCAATGCTGATTGGAGTTGTATCTAGTATTCAGGTACTTCTACATGATATAAGCTAGTCTGCCTAAGTTTGGATGGCAATAAAATGACAATATTTAGGAAAGAGATTGGAGAAGGAATCTTAGAATCAGACATGTTATGCCTAGCATATGGTATAATAGCTTCAACTTTCATGCCAAATTGGAGACGAGCATTCTTTCAACCAGAAGTACTGTTCCCATTTCTGGAATGGATACCACACTGCTTACACTTATTATGGAGGTTACAACAATAGCTTTGTTATGGATGAAGCTGAAATTACCTTATTGGCACATAGGCTCCTTATTCTGATTCCTCCCTTTCTCCTACTGATCTGGTTATTTGAAGGACTAGGTCCTTTTGGATCCTCCTATAGTTAGCCCTTTCCTTCAGACTGCTTCTGGTATCCATTGACAAGTCTGACTCTGGGTAGGAAAGCACCCTTCTCTGTCACTGGTAGCTAGAGCCTCAGTATCAACGGCATCTGACAAGTATCTACAACCAGAAGCACAGAAACCTGACGTGGCAAGGAGAAAAACCATTGGACTTTAAAATAGCCATTGCTTTTTTTTTTAACTAATTCATTTTCCCCAATATTATGTTGACCTAGCCTCACTCTAATAACAGATCATTTTGAGATACCTGTCTAGGAAATACTGTTCTAGATTAATATGGGCCGAATTTCTCTCAAAGCCTTATTCCCATAGAACAGGTAACCGTGAATAAGGATGGACATGACGCACTGATAAGAACCAACTGCGGTGTGAAGGATGGCAATACATAACACGACCAAAGACAATTGGCTAATCACAACACTGCTGTGAGTGACAATGTCTCTGCTGTGGTTAGCTTTGGTGCCTTCTCCAAGGTAAATTCAGCAGTGACATTAACACCGACCTGGGAACTTGGAACCTGAACCCTCATGCCTAAGTAATAAAACTAATTGGAACAGAGACATGGCACTTCTATCTCTTACATCAATGTTGCATAGAGCTGACTTAAATTTTTATATTAAGTTTTATTCAACAAGCACTCATTACATACCTGCTTGATGCTGTTGGATACACAAATGACTAAGACCAGGTTCCTGCCCTCTTGTAGGGGAGAGAAGAACAAAGTACACCTTACCAGACAAATTGGAGTCAGAGTGAAGGAAGTATTATAATGAAAATACAAATAAAAGAGCCTATAAGAATAGAGGGAGAGTGTGGTTAATTTCAACTGCTTACATTAGTCATACTCCTGGATGAAGTCAGTTTTAGGCAAAAACACAGTAGACCATTTTGAATTCAATTGGATCAATAACTTATGCAGATAACAACAAACCTTTGGGAATGATAATGCCACTAGTTTCTCTTTTAATGGTATATTATTCTATTGAGGGGAGGGGCCATTTGTCTATGTGGCTCTGCTACTTTCATTAAATTGATTCTTAGGTATATGTTAAATATAGCATAATTAGGTTCTGATCTTTAGAGAAATCTACACTGTTGGGCTTAAATATTTGTGACTAGATTAGGAGCTTTTTAACAGAGTAGATCATATTTTTCAACTTTTTTCCTAAGGCAACATGATGGCATTAAATATTTGTTTGCTTTCAATTATCAATGGAAATAAGTTTCTCCAGCATTTTACAAAAGTGTTTGAACTTAAAAAAAAATTCAACTCAAGGATAAAAATCAGATGCTAGCTTCATTTTCTCATTTCATTTGTTTTATATCATATTTAATGTCAGTATTTGTTTGGGACTGGATTATCATCATATTTTGCTGTCCACATGTTATAGTGTACTTACTAATTTCAAAGGTCTGGGACTGACTAGCTGTTAATAATAGTACACTGTGTTTCTGTTCTGTTAGGCTTGGTCCAGCATAGTTTATCAGCTGATTCCCAATGTTCAGCAGCTGGAAATGAACCTAAGGAACTTTGCTGAAATTATCGAAGCTGATGAAGTACTTCTGTTTGAGAGAGCTACTTTTCTGGTAAGAACTTTCTGCTTTGCAGATGTACTTCACACTGTACCTTCTTTGTTTTCAGCAACAGAGAACAGCATGACACTACTTTCACAAAGAACCTTTTTCCCTCTTGTCAACTTCAGCATGTACAGCCTTATTTATAAAATAGTATTGTCAGCAAGTGACCTGAAAGAAGGAAGCCCTTTGGTGTGTAGCTCTTTAGAAGTTAATGAAATTAGATTTTTGCAGGTATTTCTTATTAGTGAGTTCAGATTATTGGCTGGGTGCGGTGGCTCACACCTGTAATCCCATCACTTTGGGAGGCCGAGGTGGGTGGATCACCTGAGGTCAGGATTTTGAGACCAGCCTGACCAACATGGAGAAACCCCATCTCTACTAAAAAATACAAAATTAGCCAGGTGTGGTGGCACATGCCTGTAATCCCAGCTATTCAGGAGGCTGAGGCAGGATGGAGGTTGTGGTGAGCCGAGATCGTGCCATTGCACTCCAGCCTGGGCAACAAGAGTGAAACTCTGTCTCAAAAAAAAAAAAAAAAAAAAAAAAAGAGAGTTCAGATTATTTATGCTAATAACTGTTCATTTATGTTAAAGGATTCCTATTTCCTGTGGACTTTTATTATGAAATGTGGCATATTTTCCTTTTGAGAAAACTCACATCCTATCCTTTTCTCTAAAAGACTCATTGAAAACTTTTAATGTAGAAGAAACATTATGGTCATCTCAGTGACATAATTAGGAGTTCACATGAAGAAGTGGAGAGGGAAAGAAGCATGTTGGTATTTCTATTTTTCTTGTAAATTGAGCTTAGCAACTATATTAGAGCCTACTGTTTGTATAACCCTGAAAGGGGGATGCAAAAACCAATATTGTATTTGTAAATACATTTTAAAAATAGCAATAACAGAAACTAATTTAAGATGTCACAACACACTGCATAAGTAATTGCTAATTAGCCTTGGTAAATGTAACTCTAAGAGCCTTTCCCAGTAAATAATTTGTTTCTGGGCCCTGCCAATGCTTGGTGATGTTAGAAACAATACTTAATCTCTAGGGGCTTGTTTTCCTTCTACGAATATCTAGATCGTAGATTTATTGTGCAGATGAAAATGGGACACAGGAACATTGAGCACCTAGCAAGCCTTGGCATTTAGCTGGCAAACTATTAAATATTGATTCCTTTTGCTACTATAGCAACAGGGCAGAGAATCTAAAGTACAATTTTCCCTTCTTCCTTTGTGGAAATATTATTTGTAACCCCGAGAGTATTTGGGAGCCATCCTTCTAGCTGGTATAGATGGGGCAAGGAGTCCTAATTAGAGTATCTTTCTGTCTCAGCCCACTGACAGAGGTCACTTGCTTGGAATTGTGCTACCCTGAGCCTGTTTTTCCTGCTAGTGTGAGTAACCATGAGCAAGAAAGCTATTCTGTCTTGATGTACGTGGCAGGACCGAAACCTGCTTCAGCAGTATTCCCCTACTATGTCTGCCACACATGGTTGTAGAGGTTAACCTAATATAAGCTCCCTGTTCCTCACTAATAGTAACAGGTAGTTTTTGTTTCTCTTGAGACCAAGTTTAGATGTGACTGAACATTTTCACTGAGCGGGGTGAAGTCAAGCAAGGGGGATTTGTTCTTCCACTGGTATAGAAATTATGTTTTGAAATTTTCACATTGTCTCATGGAATTTCCCTGTGAGTTTTCTTCTGGTGAGTGACTCAGTTTTGCTTCCTACTAGACACTCTGCATCTGTATATTCAGCCTATAGGTAATACTTGTGTGGTTTTATTAAAATCTGAAAAAGTTAGAAAAAGTATTTTCAGCTGGTGTGGATGTCCATCCTGCATAAGTTCATTTGTAAATAGTCCTCAGGGATTGGAATCAACCAGTTAAGCTTTTAAAATATAATTCCAAAAGCTATTTGGTTAGCTTGGGCTTTTTAAAAATTAAACACGTGAAGTATACCTCAAGAAAAGCTAGGAATTTTTATGTTTTTCTTTTTGATTTGTACTTTTTAAAAATCGAAGACTATCATGTGAAATATTGAAATAAAATGAATATTTAGTGATTAAAGTTAGAAAAAATAGCAGTGAACCAAAATAGGCAATACGTAAATGATTTAATAAAATTATAACCAAACGGTACTAGATGGGCCATCTGAATGGACGTTGAAATCACACAGAATGTTGGTAAGATACAGGACAGAGGAAAAGAGACAAGCCAGGTGCCAAGTCTACTCTACCCTAAAAACCAGTGACCAAGGGACTGACAAATGTCTGCTTTGAGGAGTAGCAGAGGATGATATGACTATTTTGCATGGATTCAAAGGACAATATTCTTTTTCATAGGTAATTTCTCACTATCAGTGTAAAGAGCAGCGTGATGCCCATAGATTTGAGAAAATAAGCAACATTATTAAGCAGTTCAAGCTGAGCTGCAGGTAAGAGATCTTGTATGAATGATCTGTTTATCTCTTGAAAAAATTATTGTCATTTTTTAGAAGTTCAAGTAACTATAGTTAACTGTACTTCTATATTCAGAATAGTTCCTTCAATCAAAGAGAAAGCTAAATTCTAAGGGGCCTCCAGTTGACCGAAGTGCAGGTCCTTGTCCTTTAATGCAAACTCAGCTAGTACAGAAGCATATGAAAAATATCCAAACAGAGTATCTTTTTGAGATGATTGATACTATTTGGGAAGAAACAGAATATCCAAGAGAGTTTTGAAAAAGAAGAAGGAAGGAGCATTTGCCTTACTGAATACCAAAATTTAGTCTAAAACTACTACTTTAAGTATTTACTATTTAACTGAATTAAAATAGTGAAGTACTGATTCAGAAATGGTACAGAAAAGACAGTCTAGAAATGTTTAATCATGTTGTGTCAGCCATTGTTAAATAAAATTTGAATCATAGCATTGCGAATCTAGGAAAAAGGAATGGCTGAACACCATAATTTAGCAAAGATTTAATAATCAAAATCCTTACCCTGATAAAAGTTTGATTCCAGAACAGCAGGAGTAAGCTTACTCTCTATGCCTTAGCACACTTTGAGACTTTCTGGAATGTTTATGCTAACATTTTGAAGAAGAAATAGCCAATGACAAGCAAATATAGTTGCCTTGTTTGTTTTCAAAGAAAAAAGGTCATTTCTTGAATTTAAATGTAACACTGAAAAGATGTAGGCTTTAATCTCAATGATAAGGAAATTTCAACTTAAGATGCTTATTAAATGTTGAAGAAGTCTTCTGAAAATGATTTTAAACATGGATCTAGGTCTAAGCCAATTTTCATTTCACAGTCAGTTTCAAGTGCTTTAGGCAGATGTGGTGGCATGCACCTTTGTAGTCGCAGCTACTTGGGAGGCTTAGGCAGGAGCCTAAGACTTGAGCCAGGATTTCAAGGCTGCAGTGAGCCATGATGGCACCACTGCACTCCAGCCTGGGTGACAGAGCGAGACTCTGACTCATAAAAAAGTAAATTGAAATTGAAAAAATTTTAAAAATCAAGTCCTAGCCCACTTTTGTCCCAGTTACTTTTCAAAACATGTTAAATTCAGTATAAGAGTTTCCTTGGAAAAAATAGAGTTAGTGATTAACAATCTTAATGAAGTGGTGAATTGAGGTATAATGCTATAAAAAAGATGTTTAACATAAATGATAAGAGCTTGTTACAGTGTTATTATTTCATTCTTTAACCACTTTTCTTCTTTTTCCTATAGCAAGCTGGCTGCCTCTTTCCAGAGTATGGAAGTCAGGAACTCTAACTTCGCTGCTTTCATTGACATCTTTACATCCAACACTTATGTGATGGTTGTGATGTCTGATCCATCCATTCGTAAGTTTAAACTTAGCTGACCTAGCTTCAAAGCCACATATTCTTTAAACAATTGTCCCAGAGGTAGTACCTTATTAGATACTTAAAAGCTGTTTTATAGTGGAGATGATTGCACAACAATGTGAGGGCACTTAATCCCAATGAACTGTATGCTTAAAAATAATTTAAATGATAAACTTTGTGTTATGTATACTTTACCACAATAAAAAAAACTATTTTAGTACTAGTGGTAAATAGTTTTTATTTAATAGACTTATATTTTAAAGCTTAAAAATAATTTACCCTCTAGTGTATTATGTTTTTCTTCATGGGAACTTCAAAAAGCAAGTCACTAAATCCAAGAATTTTAAAGAAAAGAGAACCCAAATACATGATTTATGCTGCATCTGGTATAGATTTTTAAAAGACTAGTCAATCTAAGCTCTTAAACTATTAAATGACAAACTATTTTATATGTCATTGCATATTCCTATGTACCATATTCTCATATTTCTGTTATGGGCATGAAGGGGTGTTTGATGCTTCCATACCATAATAACCATGACTATCACAACCATTGAAATAAAGGTTCTTGCAGTAGTTTTCAGGATGGTCCCAGAGTTTAAATTAATTTCTCATCCATTGGCTTTTGCTACTTTAAGTTAATATTAAAATATAACATAAATTTATGGGTTTTATGTTGTTAGCTCCAAACCAAAAGATTTTGGAAATTTATTTTGGGAATTTTGTGTTTAGAATATGAATAAATCTTCTGCTTATTCAGAAAAATTAAACCTTGATAACTTGGGACCTCCTATTCCTGTATGTTCTCTGACATACATTGAGGGATTTGGCTCTCTTTTGTTTATTTGTTTTACTAGTCAGACATTCCTTTGGCTGCCCATACTTAATTCTGTTGGGTGTTTCCGCCCCCACCCTCAGCTTCTGCAGCTACTCTGATCAACATCCGCAATGCCAGAAAACACTTTGAAAAGCTGGAAAGAGTGGATGGACCAAAGCAGTGTCTTCTCATGCGCTAAACATTGATGAATGTTGTTTCACACAAAAATTAAAAGTTTCCTAATTAATGTTGTATTCATATATGTAGGCTCTGAAATGTTGTGATGCTTATTGCTTCTGTATTTCTTCTCTACTCCCTAGTCTTAATGTTAAACCTTGAATGCTATTAACTTAAATAGCCATTGAGGAGTTAGAAGATGAATTGTTCATGAAGTTGGTGTTACATAAAAGTAGGTGATATGTAAGTTTTCTGATAACAAGGTTCTAATAGTGTTTAAATGTACTGGCAACCTGGTTCCAATAGTTGTGTTTGCCAAAGCCTTTCTCAGCATCATCTTGTATTCCTTATCAGACAGTAAGTAACCTGTAAGTTTGGAGTATTACTGTTTTCTCAGCATGCATTAAAAATATTCCTTAACTTCAATTGTAAATAAACTTTTGCTGTTAGGGATTTCAGTGTCTATTTTTCTTTTCCCTGTTTCTTCAACTTTGTCCTAAGAAACAGTAAAGGAATTTCACAGTTATCCTAGGTGAAAGGGACCTTCTGGTTGGGAAGGCACAAAATAAAGTTGGATGGGAAGAATGTAGCCAGATTATGGCCTTAAAGCGAGCCAGAAAAATTCAGATATAAGACATCTAAATGTGATAGGATATAGGAAAGCATTGTGGGCCTTTGAGCAAGGGAATTATGTGAAAGCAATTTTGAAAGAAAGTTAAGCTAGACCATATGTACTGACTGATGGCAGCTGGGGAAACTCTGGTAGTAATCCATGCCTGAAGTGTATTGAAAGTCTATTCAGGATGCAGCTGGAGAAGGAATGCATAAAAAGTGGGGGGGAAATAGGATTTATGAGGTCCAGGAGTGGTTAATTAGGTGTAATTTCCACAACACTTAATGAGATGTACCTTCATTATTCTATCAAGCAGTATTAAAACCTTTTTCAAGCTGGCAGTTGACTTTAATTTTGTCCCCTAAGGAAAAAATGAAACACGGTGAACTGTGAGAAATAGAGTTTGATATCACAAAGCCCTAACCTTTTTAGTTTCCATTTGCAGGAAAATAGAAGACAGAACCATTTAGGGAATGTACAGCACCGTTGACAGTAGACTCATCCCATTTCTCCTTCTCCATGTCATAAAGGAACTTCTTCTAAACCACTGGTCTCTCACCTTTTCTCACCTTAGTTTAATAGTCCCAGTTGAGGGATAAGTAGAGTTTTCACTGAGCAGCAAAAAACATGTGTTTTTTTTGTTTTTTTTTTGTTTTGTTTTGTTTTTGCTACATGACCTGCATTATGTAGACTAAAATTCTCAACTTGTAAAACAATTTTATGGGAGTATTTCTATCAACAGCTGTGTTAATCTTCTGCAGAAGGAGAGATTTAAGTATTCCAGAGTCTTTATCCTATTAGCATCTAGGAAAATGAAAAGAGTTCAGGAAAGTGAAAAGAGTCATTGAACAGGGGTATATTCTGTGACTAGTAATGAAGTGGGATTCACTTCTAAATCAGACATTCACACTACTTGAATGTGTTCTTTTTAAGGTGGATAGATATTGATACATATAGAGACATTAAATTAGATGAGCCCAGAAAAATCATAAAGTTATATCTTTATCCTATTTGCCCTTAGTTCATTCAATCCCTGCTCAGATTATAGTTATAACTTGGACATGGATGTTTTGAAAGTTTAGACAAATGAGGTTCTGATTAGACTTAATCCTTCTTATGGTGATGGCCAGATAGCTGTCTTTGTCACTGAAGGCAAAAAAGTTTTGAGATATATATTTATCCAAAGATGCAGTCACTTTGAAACAGAAGTAGAATCAGGTGGATGGTGAAGGCATGCACACAGAAACAGATGGAGAATAGAAATCAAAATTAGAGATGAAATGAAATGATACAATGAAATAATGCTTTTTATAGGCCGTGTTAACTATGTCAGTAGGATAGGGCAGTGGGTCTCAAACTTGAGCATGCATCAGAATCACTTGGAGGGGGGCTTATTAAAACAGATTGCTGCCCCACCCCAAAAGTGTCAGATTCAGCAGGTCTGGGGTGAGGCTCATGAATCTACACTCCTCACATGTTGCCAGATGATGCTGATCCTGCTGGTCCAGGGATTACACTTTGGAAACCACTGCTTTAGGGAAGAAAAGAGGAAATGTAGACATGGAAACAAGTATGGGAAAAACATGTGTTCACCACTTTGGCAATAATGAAGTGAAGGCATTATACCAAGTATGATATATATGTTTTAAACCACTGATTCTCAAAGTGATCTGTAAGTTTGAGAAGCACTGTTGTAGACAAAAGCAATGCCTGGGAAGCTTGTGTTTCATAAGTAATATGTTCATGTGGAATCCCTTGCTAGTATAAAGAGACTATGGGTACTGATTTGTATCGGGACGACCTAGCTTGTTGCAGTTTCATCCAGCTTTATTTGCTAACTCAATAGGATACCAAGAAGAGTTAGGTGGATTGCCAAATGAAAACGGTGCTATCCTTTAGTTGAGTACTTGCCAAGTGTCAGTGCTTTATAAGGATTATTTCAGTTAATCTTCACAAGAACCCCATGGCATAAGTACTATCACTGTTTCCATTTTGAAGATGGGGAAACTGGTCTCAGAGAGAATAAGAAACTTGCTAATAGTTACTGTAGTAATGGCAAAGCTGGGATTTGAATTCAGTGTAACTCCGGAGCTCATATACTTAATCTTAACCTTGAAGTTATATGGCCTTCCTGAATGTAAGGGCCTATTCAGAGTGGAGAGTATGAGGTGCACCCAGATGTGGTACCTCACTGTGATATTACCACTATTTGGCTACTTTGAAATAGTAAAGCAAATGCTCATGAACCTATCTTACTCCTGGTTTTACTGGAGCATAGGAAGCCTTACCACAGTAGGCAGTACAAAGCAGTCACCAGGAAAACAAAGCAAAAACCCCTCCAGCTTGAAGGATTTAGGTCAAACCTAAACAGTTTTTTAATATTTAGAAGTTTTGTCCCTGAATTAGGTTTCTGTAAGCAGTTATAGCCTCTACTTCTCTGGGGCCATTTATTAATAAAAATAGGAGGGAGAAAGTGTGTAACTTTATAACATTTTTAGGTCTCTCCCGACAGTGCCTTGCATAGGCCAGTTTAATATTTCCTGCTCAAATTCCTGACTCTTCATTATAAAGCAAGAAGTGGTTAGGGCCCTCCTGCAGCCCTCACTAACAAAATTTCTGGCCTCATTAATTTAGTCAAAAGATATTTTTTCAATACTTACTATGTTTCAGACACTGTTTTTGAAGCCCAGGATATGAGAGTGAACAAAATAAAGCCCTTGTACTCATGGAGTTCATATTCTAGGAAGAGGAGACAGACAACCAATTAAGTAAACATAATAGATTAGGAAAGAGATATATGAAGAAAACTTAAGCAGTAATGTGGGAAGGGGCTGGGGCAGGCAGAATAATGGCCCCATGGAGGATTACATCCTAATCCCTGGACCTATGAATATGTTGCATGGCAATGAGGAAGTCAGGTTGCAGATGGAATTTAGGCTACACATCAGCTGCCCCCAACATAAGGAGATCATCCAGGTTTATCCAAATGGTCTAATGTAATCATAAGGGCCCTTTAAATGTGGGAGAGGGAGGTAAAAGAGTCAATGTCAGAATGACTTGCTGTGAGAAAGACTCAATTTGCTGTTCTTTGCTTTGAAGATGGAGGTAGGGGGCCATGAGCCAAGAAATGTGAGCAATCACACTAAAGCTGGAAAAGGCAAGGAAACTGATTCTTACCTAGAGTCTCAAGAAAGAAACAGAGCCCTGCTGACGTCTAGATTTTAGCCCAGTGAAACCCACATCAGACTTCTGATATCCAGAACTATAACATAATAAATTTTTATTGTTTTAAGCCACTAAGTTTGTGGTAATTTGTTAGAGAAGCAATAGGAAACTATATTAATCAGGGTTCTCCAGTGAAACAGAACCAATAGGGTGTGTGTGTGTGTGTGTGTGTGTGTGTGTGTGTGTGTAAAAATGTATTAGAAATTGGCTGACATGATTCTGGAGGCTGAGAAGTCCAAAGATCTGCAATCAGCAAGTTAAAGACCCAGGAGAGCCAATGATGTAGTTACAGTCTGAGTCCAATGGCCAGAGAACCAGGAGAACTGATAATATAAGTTCCAGTTCAAAACCTGGCAGGCTTGAGACTCAGAAGGAACCAGTGTTTCAGTTCAAGTCTGAATGCAGGAAAAGACTGATGTCCTGGCTCAAGGCAGTCAGGCAGGAGAAATTCCCTCTTACTAATGGGAGAGTCAGCCTTTTTGTTTATTCAGGCCTTCAGCTGATTGGATAAGGCCCACCCACATTAGAGAGGGCAATTGCTTTACTCGGTCTACCGATTCAAATGTTAGTCTCATCTAAAAACACCCTGACAGACATACCTAAAATAATATTTCACTAGATATTTAATCTGGGCACCTTGCAGCCTAGTCAAGTCAACATGTAAAATTAATCATCAGAGAAACTAAAACAGGGATTTATTTAGTTAGGGAGATCAGAGATAGCCTCTAACATGAAATGACATCTGAACAAAGAACTGAATAAAATGTGAGAGCCATGTGTATAGCACGTTAAAAAAAAAAAAAGACATTTTAGGCAGAGAAAACAGCAAGTACAAAGTCCCTGAGGTGGGAGGATTCTCAGAATATTAGAGAGGCAGCAGCAAGGCCAATGTGGAGGTAAGAGTGGTAAGAAGAATAGGAGATTAAGGTGAGGAATTAGATAGACATGGGGTGGGAGAGAAGACTGTGTAGGACCCTTTAATCAATTGTAAGGATGTTTGTGTTTACTACCAGTAAGACGGGAAAGCCACTAGAAAGTTATGAGCAGAGGGGTGATGTGATCAGACTTACTTTTTAAAAAAGATCACAGCTAAAGAATAGACAATTTGGAGATAAGAGTAAAAGCAGGGAGACCAGTGAAGAAGCTATTGTGATACGTAATATTAGGTATCAACTTGACTGGATTGAGGGATGCCTAGCTATCTGGTAAAGTATTGTTTCTGGGTGTGTCTGTGAGGGTGTTGCCAGGAGAGATTGACACTTGAGTCAGTGGACTGGGAGAGGAAGACACCTTCAGTGTGGGTGGGCAACATGCAGTCGGCTGCCAGTACTGCTAGATCAAAGCAGGCGGAAGAAGGGGGATAAAAGCAGCTTGTTTACTGAATCTGCTTGTTCTCTTGCTTCCCATGCTATGCCCGATGCTTGGCTTCCTTTCCTCCTGCCCTGGGACATCAGACTCCAGGTTCTTTGGCCTTTGGACTCTAGAACTTGCACCAGCAGCTTCCCAGGGGGCTCTTGACCCTTTGGCCTTAGGCTGAGGGCTGCACTGTCAGCTTCCCTGGTTTTGAGGCTTTCAGACTTAGACTGAGCCATGCTCCTGGCTTCTGTCTTTCCCC